CCGTTTACATCTAGATGTCGACCAGCATTTAGCTGGGACCGCTGTGGCTGCAGGCGCCGCGCGTGTGGGAGGGGCGGGGCTGACACACCAGTCAGGTCAGGACCTCCGCGTGGTCGCATTTGTTTCAACAAAAAGGTAGTGAAAAGCAGGCATACAGTCTCATCTATGGCATACCACGCATTTAAACTACACCTAAAAACAACCAGCGCCATTCGTCTTTTCCGCTGGAAGCAAACCGGCAGCTGGGAGATGGAGAGCCCCACCTTCCCGACAGTTTACTATCAAGATGGCATTTGCACGACAATGCACAACATGTTGGTGTTTCCTGTTCGAAATCTATGAATTCAGATTTGGATATGGCCTTTGAGGCTCGGGTCTTTGTATGACAGTGGACTGTACACTTGACTGTTTGTTTTCAGAGTTTTTTTGCTTGTGAGCAATGTGGCTCATAATTTATTTATTTATATATTGTGGTGACCACTGTATAACATAATTCACTCATGTGATGCAGGTTGGGGGTATTGTTCCGCACCGGCACACTAATGCCTACTTGTACCTCTGGGGTATATACTTGTCTTTTCCTTTTCTTCTTTCCCGGTGCTTCCGACCCGAGCAGAGTGCATTTTGCATGCTATAAAGCCATAATATAATATATATATATATATATATATATATATATATACTGTATATATATGTTTTCCAGCCTGAGTCTATTTAATTGATTGTTTATGGTCGTGTGTGATTATTAATTTTTATAATTTAATGAATTGTTTTATTTATTATCTTATCTTTATATATTTTAATATTATTTTAATTTGCATGTTGAATGTCCAATACAATTTATTGGTTGAAAGCGATGTATTGAATTTTATTATATATATCTAAGGGCTGTCAAAAACGATACCCAAATTTTTGAATTCAGATTATCACGCTTAAAATTAATTATCAATGATTATCCACCATTCGAGTATGTCCAAATATGCCATTCTTTATGTATATTGTTGTGGGAAGAAGATAATGAAAGAAGGTGGGTATATCATTTAACATACAGTATAGTATGTTTATTATAACATTGTTCTGTGTGTCAAAATGAAAGACGCCACATCTAGGGCCTGCACGATTTTGGGAAAAATCTAATTACGATTTTTCTGACAAATATTGCGATTGCGATTCCGAATTGAGATATTTGTTTTAGCGACCAACGGAACGTTATTGTAAATGCGGGCCCATACCCGGCTAGGAAGGTCGTATCATTACTCCGTCTCTAGCACCCGCCAGCCCGAGCTACGAGTGAATGAACTAAACTTACATGGAACTTCCGTTGGTTGCTTTAAAGCCAAAGCTTCAGTTTAAGATTCACCCTGTAATAGAAACATGTCATGGGAGCATTACTAACGCTGACTGGAAGATGTTTGTTTCACCAAACCATCGCTAGTAAACTCCAATTGGAGCCATTTGAAAGGGCTGTGCACTTCAAAAGCAACTTGCAGGTGGACTGGAAATCAATCTGTCTAATCCCTTCTATATGGGCACTTCTGATTGATTAACAATGGCTGTAAATGTGGAGCACAGCACTTCTGATTGGGTGTGGATGACTGACACAACAAGAAGAAAAAATATATATATGGTGCAAAAAAAATCGCGGCTTTGCGATTTTGATAATCGCATCATTTAAATCGGATTCGATTTAAAATCGATTAATCGTCGCCCCTACCACACACCTATCATTCAAACGTGGGGTCTTTATTTATGTACTGTTGATTTCTATTTCATTGGTAAGGCTGAGCCCTACCCCAGCGCTGGCACTGGTGACGGATGATGGGTGGTGCTTCTGCCACATGCTTAAATGCGTTAATATTTGAGCCGATTTTTTTCTTTTTTTTTTAAAATTTTAAATTTTGTATCATGCACAAAACAAAAATGACCAGTTCAAGTACTTAAAGTCATCCTGAGGCCTTAAGTTTTGGTTCAAATGACAGAACATCATGATAGTGTGCTTCTTGGGCTTGTTTTCAATAGACCTGGTTGGCTTATTTCTCTCAATCTGGCACAGAGTGGCAGGGGCGCAGTCTAATTGTAGCAGTAAGCTACGGAGTACTGAAAGCTTATTTGATTTTGATCCAATGCTGACACTGAACCCTGATCCAATGCTGCGTCAAGAAAGAAGCTATATCCCATGTTGGATATAAATCCATTTAAAAGAAAAATAACCTTAAGGGACAACTTTGAATGCTTTTTTTTCTCTTAATGCATTAGCATAAGGATCGGATCGGGAAATAGGTATCGGCGAATGTCAAAATCAATGATCGGAACTGATGGGAGCAAAAGGTAGATCGGGACATCCCTAATTATTATTATAAAGGCTAAGTAGGTCAGAGTCCAGACGCTTCACATCACCACGGCAACTCACTTGACCATCCCTTGGATGATCTGCATGGCGATGTCCTGCAAGCCCCGCCCCTTCAGCTCGGCCCACCTCTGGAGCGCAGGAGGCACACAAGCTTTCAGCACCTCCGTCCAGGCTGGTTCCTACACTCTCCAGCTGCTGCTCTGTGACAGCCCTGTACCACGGCCTGCAACCGCTGCCAGAGCCTGCTGCTGGGCTCCGACCTCTAAAAGGGGGGGGGCAGGACATGGAGGATGAGGGTAAGGCTGCATAACTGACTAATTGCAATTTCATTATGATTCGCAGTAATAGAACAATTATAAATTACATTATTCACATAATTATTCAAATATAGGCCTATATTAAAATTATCATTGGTTTATTTTTATTTGAACAATAATGTTTGTATTATGGCTGGGAAATAGTTTGAAGGATGTCATATCTCTGCAGCTCCACCTAATACTTAATTCAGAATGATAGTTTCATATATGTTGTCTTTACCAAATGTTGCCCTTACTGGGAAAGGGATACTGCACTACATCATATTGAGATTTTGATAAAATACAAATTTATTGTGGATACAGAAGGCAAGGAAAAGGTAGCTTTGAAGGAGGGCTGCAGCAAAAGTACCTACTATGTTTATCTAATGATCTTTACTCTAAAAGAAAGGTGAAAGGTCATATGCACAGCAGGCACAGACTGGAGCTAGAGTATGCTCAACTCATGCTTATCTCTTCCATCTAAACATGTTAAGTTTCATATTAAATGTTTAGGGGATTACAGTGCTTTTAATAAGATATCAACACTCAGGATATTTGTCATTTAATTTGACTGGACACGGACAGTAAACTGAAATTGATATAAAATAAATACCAAGCCTCAAAAGAAACTAAATCATGGATTGAAAAACACTAATTGTTCTCAGCTGTGGTGGTCCAGAACTGCAATGCATTTAGGGGAAAATACCAAGAACGTGCCAAGGTTTATAAAGTTGCCATGTTGGGTATATGACTCATCACCATAACTCAAGCGACATTTACCTTCAGTCCCTGCATTCGTATTACGCTGTTGGAACCATGCCTCTCGCTCACACACTAACATGTTTCTGACAGTCAGTATCAGGCACTGAGTAACCCACCTTGAGCCTCCAGAGCCTCCAGCGTCCCCAGCAGCACAGCTTCCCCCACCCCGTCTAACAGCGGCCTGGCTTCCAGCACCAGTCTCTGGGCTCTTATCCTGCTGATCTCCTTGTAGATGATGTAGGCGACCAAGCCACAGCCTGCTGTAGCTGCGACAGCAAGCCCCACGAGCCCACTCCTCCCGAGCTGCGCGTTCATCTCTGCACGCTCCGCTAGTCGTTTAACAGTTTACGGTACTAACTTAGCTCTGCTTACATACGTCACCAACCATGTCTACCTGTAACTTATTTCAGGATACAAACGACATGCCTCAAGCCGCTGGACGTATATTATCTCAGTTCCGAAAAGATGCTTGACAGGGGGCACGCTCACTGCTAGCACGTTAGCCAAGTGTCAATAGCCTGTGACTGTAATAGCCTCCACTGGCTAATAACACAATAATAAGCTTGACGCAAATGTTACAATTCTCCTTTAGACCTGTCCAAGTAATAATTAAAGACGAAACGTTCAAAAGTTTAAAAATAATAAACAAAACGGTTTGTTTACATCTTATGAAGGTATTTAGTCGACTAGCAGCTACGATGCTATGAAATGTCAAACGTAACTGCATCACATCAGCGGCAACGAGGCGAGCGCATGGGGACACAACTTCCTGTTCCAATTTCCAAAATAAAAGATGCTGTCGAGAGGGCTGCATTATTATGTATAATATTAGGTAGTATGTCAACATTATACAACTAAGTAGACACAGTGGGGAGTGTAACTCAGTACATTTACTCAAGTAAACATTTTGGAGGAAATGTTTTAGTAACGAGCTACTTTGCAGGTATGGATTAATAATACAGAATATAAATCAACGTATTAATCATTATGTATTAGGTTAAACTACTAGGAAGTATATCAATAATTTAAATAATCTACCACTTTACAAAGTGCAACATTGACATTAATACTATATAATAATAATAATAATAATAATAATAATAATAATAATAATAATAATAATAATAATAATAATAATAATAATAATAATAATATATAATATATATCATTTTCAAAATGAAAGTACAAAAATAATACAAACAAAAATAAAATAAATAAATAAATAATAATAATTCTCAAATAGTCTGTCATGTTCATGTGTCATCCTCATTACACTGTTATTACACATTACACCCATGTATCACATGGACAAAGCCCGTCAAATTAATATGCACTCCAGGACACAGAAACCATTTAAGGGATGAGGAAGAAGTGATTAGTTTAGAATCTCGACCGCTTCTCTTATTTTCATAAGATGTTCATGACTGGACCGCTTTTCTAAAACGTTCCCAATGTTGGGAATACAAAGCAAACCAAGCCATCATTACACAAAATCAAATAGTTAATTATTTAGTTCCATTCAGAAATATAATGAATACTTCAAATGTTCTTATCAGGTGGTTCTTTTTAAAGCTGAACATTGTGACGCTTCCAATGGCGGTGAATGTAGCCTCTGCTAACTGACCTCTGAGCCTGACGGTGAGATGGGAAGTCTGAGTGCAGGAGAGGAAGGTCGCCCTCTCTCCAAGTCGAAGGGAAGCTCCCGCCGAGGTCTCTTCTTCTTCTCTGTGTCCTGGTCCCTCATCTCCCCGGAGCCGTGGCCGTGACCCTCCGCTCGAGTGAGGACGCCTGACAGGAAGTCAGAGATCTCATCCTGCAGAACAGTGATGGAAGAAAGAAAACGGTTTGTTAGCACCATCAGAGCAGTTCTTTAGTTTTAAAAAAGTACGGCAGGGGATAAGAATCACCCCGGACAACATGAGAAATAATATAAGTCATTTTTTACAAGGACGAACCTGAATGCAGCGGTCAACCATTGTCTGCGTCAGTCCTTCTGATTTCATCTTTGCTGAATTAATCCTGTGTAGGGAAAAAATTCACTGTTACAATTACTACTGAATTATATTAAAATATCTAGGGATGCACCGAATATTCGGCCGCCGAAAATTATCGGCCGAAAATGGTTAAAAAGGCCCTTTCGGCTTTTGAAAAAATATCACCGAATGTCAGAGAACAGGGTTACATTGGTAAGCTAACGTGTTGTTGTGATGACGTAGGCTTTGTTCTGAATGCACTTTGTTGTAGTTATCCTACAGAGAAAAGAAAATGCACTTGACTTGGAATGAATGTACTGTATGCATTCAAAAGTGCTGAATAAATGTTTTATGGACCCATAATAGTGATTATTATTTAAGTTAAGTTTTTTCCATAATCATGTCTTTTTCCATAATCAGGTAGCTGAACAACATTGGTAAAAAATGTATACATTATATATATATATATTAATCATTTTCGGCCTTTCGGCATTCGGCCAACTGTTTCCTATTTTCGGTATCGGTATCGGCCGAGAATTTCCCATTCGGTGCACCCCTAAAAATATTTATACTGAACATATTTCTTGCTACTTAAACAGCCACTGTAGGAGCCATGTTATGGTTGTTGGCATGTCAGTTTACTTTATTTATAGTGCAATATTATTTTTGAACACTTGGTTGCGGGAGTTAGCTGCACCGGGTGTATAAACGGGGTCATAGGTGACCGGAAGAGCGAGGACAACAAGATACAACCATTGACTCAGTAATTAAACCTTGGTAATGTAAACGTTCAACAAACATCATTCTAAGCGGCATCAAAGGACCGGAAAGCATCTGTCATGCGTCTGCGTCTGGATCGCTCATAATCCTGTAATTAAGGGTCGTGACTGACCTGAGGTTGTCGTCGGATCCCCCCACCACCACCATGCTGTTGTCCGCCCTCAGCTTCTCTCTGAACTCCTCCATGCCTTCGATGCTGCTCTGCAGGGCGTTCTGGCCCAACACAAACAGCACGGGGGTCTTCATGTCCAGCAGAGGGTCGTCCACATCCTGCAAACCAGTAGAAATTCATTCAAATCAAGTTCAGTTTTTCTGATAGAAATGTTTTAATAAAAGAAGTATTTACAAAACAATAGAAACAATCCATAAAATAGAGTGATGCAGTGATGACTTATTTTTGTAGGCCGACCCGGAAGTAAGATAATCTCAACATGTCTTCCCTACTTTTATAATTTTCAAATGATAAATCTATTGATCATAAATCTATCGATTAGATTTATGATTCGAAATTGTAAAGGGTAGACATGTGGAGATTATGAGGGTGAACAAAATGTGGATTTATCAAACAGGTTCGTTTTCCACAGAGCTTATTTTTTACAATATTCCAAAACCCTATGGAGAAATGCCATAGCTTTTTTGTCGAGGGAACCCATGCGCAGCTTACTTACGGGTCGGCCTAAAAATACGTCATCCCTGCACCACTCTATGATTGGAATATGATTGCTTACCCCTCGTGGCCCGTTGACTGTCAGCAGGGGGAAGCCGAGACACACCACACCGGTCAGATACTCCATTAGGGAAACCTGTAATACATTTGCTTTTATAACAAGTGGTGCTTTAAAGAAAGGGGGAGGGGGAGGGGGGGGGAGACTGTTTAGCCTCACATAACATTGCAGCAATAAGTTATAAGGAACCTTACGTGACAGGCGATGAGAGCACCCGTATTCCAGCCAACCAGGATAATGGGTTTGTGGGGGAAGTGACTGTGAACCTGGTGGTTACATTTATGACGTAATTATTACATCTGCATAAATATAATGTACAACATAAAAACCGAATCTGTATTCAACATGGTACTGTCCTCCATTTTGCCTTCAGACATGAATCCTGAAGTGTTGACGAAACATTGTTTTCTCAAATTACAAATAAAAGGTTGGGGTGATCATTAACTTCCTGGTAAGCTAAACAACCAATCAAAATCTATTTCTGAAAACATTTTTGTTCGAGAAACAGGAAATGCAACTGCTGAATATTGTTTCATTTTAGGACAACATTGCGTAGTTTGACAGCTTGGTCCAAGTCTCGTGAGCCATGCACGTCATGATGGATGGGGTTATTTGTATACGATTCTTTCTAGAGAAACCCCCTTAATTTGCAACCTCTTCTCCGGCTTTAATAGGAAATGAATGGAAAGCAAAGATATGCCCTCTGTGGTCGGATCTGGTGGAAATTTGGACATTTTAACACAATTTTTCTACTAGGTCGGCTTGTGGTTTATTTGGCAAAAACTGAGCATTGCAAGTTAATAATACACAAAAATACTCTGCTCGTTTGGCCAGTATATGGACGACCTTTTATGCATGATTGATGTTGAGATGTGCACATTATAACCAAATCGACTACAGAAGTTGTACACCATCACCATCACACTGCAAATATAATCACATAAGTAGCAAATAAGGACAGAACATCCTACCTCCATGACCTTGGCCCTGACGGTGCCCAGCATGTGCTCCAGACACTGTGTGATGCCAATATTGGCTCCGCTGCTGACGTGACTGTGCACTGGAATGACCTGAGATAGGAACAGTTGTTATAGGTTCTTTCCTGGGATTATTAATAATCAAAATGGCGAGTAACAGATAGAAAGTTGACTGACCTTTCCCAAACACGACAGCTGAGACTGCCAGAATCTCATTCGCCTCGAGGTAGAGAGCGCGGGATTGGTTGGGCTTGATGGTGCAATTAGGATGAGAGGGGATCCATGAAGCTTGCTCTGAAACAAGAGAGAAGAATATGAGACAAATTTGTTTTTTAGATAGATGGATGGATGGATGGATGGATAGATAGATAGATAGGTAGGTAGATAGGTAGATAGGTAGGTAGATAGGTAGGTAGGTAGATAGGTAGGTAGGTAGATAGGTAGGTAGATAGATAGATAGATAGATAGATAGATAGATAGATAGATAGATAGATAGATAGATAGATAGATAGATAGATAGATAGATAGATAGGTAGATAGGTAGGTAGGTAGGTAGATAGGTAGGTAGGTAGATAGGTAGGTAGATAGGTAGATAGGTAGGTAGGTAGATAGATAGGTAGATAGGTAGGTTGGTAGGTAGATAGGTAGATAGATAGATGGGTAGATAGATGGATAGATAGATAGATAGATAGATAGATAGATAGATAGATAGATAGATAGATAGATAGATAGATAGATAGATAGGTAGGTAGATAGGTAGGTAGGTAGATAGGTAGATAGGTAGGTAGGTAGGTAGATAGGTAGGTAGGTAGGTAGGTAGATAGGTAGATAGGTAGGTAGGTAGGTAGATAGGTAGATAGATGGATGGGTAGATGGATGGATAGATAGATAGATAGATAGATAGATAGATAGATAGATAGATAGATAGATAGATAGATAGATAGATAGATAGATAGGTAGATAGATAGGTAGGTAGATAGGTAGGTAGGTAGATAGGTAGGTAGGTAGGTAGATAGGTAGGTAGATAGGTAGGTAGGTAGATAGGTAGGTAGATAGGTAGATAGGTAGGTAGGTAGATAGATAGGTAGATAGGTAGGTTGGTAGGTAGATAGGTAGATAGATAGATAGATAGATAGATAGATAGATAGATAGATAGATAGGTAGATAGGTAGGTAGGTAGGTAGATAGGTAGATGGATAGATAGATAGATAGATAGATAGATAGATAGATAGATAGATAGATAGATAGATAGATAGATAGATAGATAGATTTTTGTCCCTGTCCTTGTCCTAATTCAAATAAACAAGCTTTCTATTGCAATAGTTTAGCGTTACCGGTTTGTTTTGCGACAAGACTCCAACAGCTGGGTCCCAGGGCCGTTTCAGCAGCAGCGACAGGGCCTCGGCACTTGGAGCGCCGGTCTTTGTAGTCGTTAGCAACATTCTGTCAATCAGCAACGGCAACTTCCAAGACACAAAGAGGCAAAAAGTAATGAATCACCAATCCCAGACCTTGTATTACTACTGCAGACATCCGAGGGGAAATATTTCTTACATGTCTTTTAACTGCACACATCATACCTTGCTTTTGAGAGTCTGCAGAACATCCAGGTAGGCAGCTAGCATCACCAGGCTCAAGGATTCAATCATGGTAGTGTGCAACCACTGCGTCAGTTTGGTGTCCCAGCTCACACTGGCTAATGCATGGCGCACCTTCCTGGCACAGTTGTCCACGGCTATCCTCCGCAAGATTGGCTCATTGGAAGCCTAAAGGAAGCAAGAGCCCAAAGGGGCCAATTTACAAATGGCTTTAGATTCACATATGACTTCACAGGAAGACGCTTTGCCTTAACTTTAGAAACGTGAAACTGAGAATAACTGGGCCCCAATAATGCAGACTATAGAATGTTAGGCTGTAGTCACACATTTTTTATATTGTTAATGATTTACTCTCTCATTTGTTGGCCTGTTTTACAAACTTATATCAGTGCTTTTAGTGTCCAAAACAAAGGGTCAAGGTTTTGTCCTTGGCAAAATGATATGTTTACTCCAAAGAGGGTACACTGCTTGGCAACAGCCTCCGAGATAGGGCTGCATTGATTTGTCTGGTGCATTATGTATAAAAAAAATCCTCATGTTTATAACGGCAATCCAATAAAAACGTAAGGTAAGCTATATACTCTTTAAAGTCCAGTCACCAATGCACAATACATTTGTGCCTATGTTATATAGACTAAGCAAATGACACACCATGACTCTGCAACAACTGATTTCAGAGAATAATAACCATTTCAATCCATCGCTTACAAATGGTGCTTGAACAAAAAAAACACTTTAAAATGCATATGGCTTGAGAACAGTATTAGCTATGAACTAAACTTACATGTTCATTGGCAAGACGCGCTAGTCTTTCAGCTTGTAAAGCTTTAAGGACTTTGTTGAACAGCTTGTTCTGGACCACTGACCATCCAATCCTGAAACAGAATAATAAAAACGTTAAAAAAAAAAGTACTTTAACACACAGGGTTCATACACTTTTTCACCAATGATTTTCAATAACTTTTCAATGACGTCTCCATGATCTTTACCTAATTTTCCATGACCGAAAAAGATTACTCTTTCTCAGCGGTACCACTGAAAAGGAGGTACAGGAAACAGGAACATAAGGTCTGCATATGAAACAGGTTCTGCCTATCTAAAACAAATCAAATAGCAGGCTTACTAGCTTCTACACGCTAAATCAACCGTAGTCAGGGATGCAAACTCATCAGGTATGAAAAAGGTGACAAGGATCCGAGCCCCCGACCCCACGGAATATCGGCTTTAAAATTATGAATAACAGAGGATTTTAGAGGTCAGAACAACTAAAGCAGCAGTGTTAATAATAACAGAAACGCTAAAGAGTCACATCTAATAGAAATATATAAAAGCATTTATTTTAATTGTGTAGCAGTCAGTTTATAATTTTGCACTGTTGAGCATTTTGAAAATGTATTTTCATGCCTCTGTGCAAGGCTTAGTCTTTCTATCTTTATAGCCAGCGGTGTAAAGTAACCAAGTTCATAAACTCAAGTACTATACTTGGGTACAATGTTGACATACTTTTGACTTTACTTAAGTATTTCAATGTTTTGCTACTTTGTTCTTCTTCTCCTCTACAGTTCAGAGGTAAATGGTATTTAATACCTTTAGTTACTTCACAGATGTGGATGAATGATGTGAGATATAATCAAGTGTTAAATCAGACTTTAGTTCCACCTGGAGTAAATCCACAAGCTACCCTGCAGTATACAAAGTCATTCAAACTAGCTGCACCTTTACCAGCTTTGAGAACACTTTCATGATCAATCATTATAAAACATATCATATCTATTATTCTGAAATGGACCAATCTGCACAATGAATACTTTTACTGTCGCTACTTTCACTATATTTTGATGAGAATACTTTTCTACTTTTACTTGAGGAACATTTTTGAATGCAGGACTTTTACTGTAACAGAGTATTCCTACACTCTGGTACTTCTACTTTTACTCAAGTATAAGATCTGAGTACTTCCACTCTTACTCCAGTACAATATCTGTGTAGGCCTACTTCTACTTTTACTCAAGTACAAGATCTGAGTACTTCTACTTTTACTCCAGTACAAGATCTGAGTACTTCTACTTTTACTCCAGTACAAGACCTGAGTACTTCTACTTTTACTCTACAAGACCTGAGTGCTTCTACTTTTACTCAAGTACAAGACCTGAGTACTTCTACTTTTATTCTAGTACAAGATCTGAGTGCTTCTACTTTTACTCAAGTAGCCTACAAGATCTGAGTACCTTTTACTCCAGTACAATATCTGAGTACTTCTACTTTTACTCCAGTACAATATCTGTGTACTTCTACTTTTACTCAAGTACAATATCTGAGTACTTCTACTTTTAATCAAGTACAATATCAGAGTACTTCTACTTTTAATCAAGTACAATATCTGAGTACTTCCACTTTTACTCCAGTACAATATCTGAGTACTTCTACTTTTACTCCAGTACAATATCTGAGTACTTCTACTTTTACTCCAGTACAATATCTGAGTACTTCTACTTTTACTCCAGTACATTATCTGAGTACTTCTACTTTTACTCAAGTACAATATCTGAGTACTTCTACTTTTTCTCTAGTAGGCCTACAATATCTGTGTACTTCTACTTTTACTAAAGTACAAGATCTGTGTACTTCTACTTGTACTCAAGTACAATATCTATACTTATACAACCTCTGTTTATAGCCTATGAAAAAAACTATTAGAAAACGAAGGCTAAAGCTAACGTTAGCAGACAATGTAGTGACAGGCGATGAGAGCGATTCCTTAAATAATATTGCGACAGAAAAACGTTTCAGTTCACATCACGCTCTCCCGCTCTGACAGGGAGCTCTGCTCTGAAAACCTGAACGGCCCGTTCTAACAGCTGTTCACCAGCGGTCCAGTCTGTGTCACAGTGACTCCGGACCGCACAGTTACAGTTAACGAACGCACCGTAGGTAATGTAGCTGCTGGAGTTAGAAACTCATCGCGGAGCAACAGAGTTCAGCCGACAGGCAGGAAGACTCGAGCATACAGCTCATGCTTCATATATCAAAAAATAACACCATGCGCGTCATGATGGCACATAACAGCTCACGACCACAGATTATTTCGGCGATTAGATTAAATGTAAATTATATTTGACGCAACTTTAGTTACATTCCCATAACTTTTCCAAAACTTTGGGAAAAATATTGTTTTCCATAACTTTTCCAGGGCCTGGAATTTTCCTTTTGAATTTCCATGACTTTTCGAGGTTTTCAATGACCGTACGAACCCTGAACATAGATACTTTCTACACAAGTGTAAAGTCAATAATAAATGAACAGTGGATTGCTCCAGATGATTGCTTACTTGTTTACATGTTCCTCCCAGTCATCGGGGGGTGGGGGGCTCTCAGCGACGGTACGAGCAAACAGAACATGTCGCTCACACTCCTTCATCACACTGAGAGCTTTCTGATTATCATACAGAGGAACAGGTCTCGGTGTCACCGTCTCCACATCCAGAAGTGAATCAGGGTCTCTGCAGACAAAGACAAGAGTATCAAGTAAATTACAGCAGAAACACCGTCGACCCAGTCGCGCACCTTTGCATCACAGCAGCTCCATTTGCAACATCAACATGGGCAAGCATTAAGACACGATACAAAGGAACATTTAATAAAACATCACGATTAGAGATGTCCCGATCCGATCACGTGATCGGGGATCGGACCCGATCACGTGATTTTCAAAAGATCGGAATCGGGAGAAAAAAATCGGGGATCGGGATTTATTTTTATTTTTTTATAAATACTTTTTTATTTTTATTCAATCTTAGAAAACAAAAATGACCATTTTCAAGTCTTAAAGTCATCCTGAGGCCTTAGTTTTGGTTTCAAATTACACAACAGCATGTATGTGTTGCTTCTTTGGGGCTTGTTTTCATAGACCTGGGGCCGTATTCACAAAGCATTTTATCTTACCGCTAGGAGTGCTCCTAACTCGCGCTAAAACATTTTACGTAGGAGTTTTTTTCTTAAAAAGTTTTCACAAAGCCGCTGAGTACCTACTCATACTAAGGATAAATCACTAAGAGTGACTAAAAGTGACGCGCCGTTGCTATGGATTACGTCGATTCTCGTGCATGAGTTTAGAAGCGGTCAGTACGGTGATTGGTTGTTCAGAGCAGGCGGTCTCGGTGAAACTCATCCGCAACATCCCACAAACGAGCCCACTAAAACAAGGAAATAGCCTAGGCTAGAAAATAGTTATGGACAGTGCAGTTAGCAGAATACACGCATGATGACAAGTTTGTGCAGACCACGATAATGACGTTGTATATGCACGTTAAAGAGAGAGAGCAAACAATAAAAATACTTAAATTGCATTAAATCAGGGAGGCAATTAAAAGCACCCNGCAAACTATTATCCAATGAGCATATTTCCAGCACTTAAACACTTTCAATAACAGCCCATACCGCCGTTCAAGTCCCCCTATCATGATGAATGAAAACAATCTGCGTGTTGATGGAATGTACTTTCTTTCTATTGACGAACACGTCCTCATCTTTTGATGGCGCAATTATTTTTATGTGCGTCCCGTCAATAGCACCGACCACACCGGGCATACCTGCAATTGCCATGAAGTTGGCTTTGATCCTGTGTAGTTGTTGATTGTCCAAAGGAAACCGGATAAACTGTTGGATGATATGTGGTCTAGAGAGCGCGTTGATGGTTTGGTTTATGGCACAGCTGACTGATGGTTGCGATATTCGTAAATCGTCGGCATTGCAAAGTTGCATTTTCCCTGTTGCTAAATATCGTAGTGTTGCCAAACATTTTATTTCCGGACTAATCGGGTTATTCCTGTTAGTCGGGGATGTTATTGCATCCCGCACTAATTCCACAACAAGTTTGATA